CCCCAGGCTGTAGATTCCCACTGCAAACCAGTTCTTGTACATGTTATAGTCGAAGGGCACAGAGAACATTATAGCCAACTTCTCTGTAGCGCAGTTGGCTTGCCTCTCGAACAGGTCGTAGGTCAGGACGCCCACTGCGCCGGTGGTTTTGGCAGTGCCCTTGCAAAAGTTGCACACTTCAGTTTTCAGTGGGCGCACGGTGGGTTTGGGGGGGCTGTAGCAGTTCCCGTTCTCCAGGAAAACCCTTGTATAAACAGGACAAAAACAAAGAAAGCATTGACAATGAATGTCTGCACCCGGTTTGGAGAACTGGTGTAGTTTGAGTCAGACTGCACCAGGAGGGCATTTTCTGAATATGCACTTTTTTTCAGCATTGCTCTGCTTTACATTGTCATCTTCAGTTGCACTTACTTGGGGTCAAGCAGGCAGTAGTTGTTGGTGAGGTTGGTGATCTCGATGGTGACATTCCTCCGGCTTTTGAGCTGAGCAGCCACAGCCTCTGCTGAATCACTCATATTGTTGCTGGTAAAAGCTGCGACAGAGCATAGAGCACAGGTGTCAGCAGAGAACTGCACGAGCAGTTAAACATATTTTAATAAAAGATGTACATTGTTAAATCCTTCTACAACCAATTCACTGGCTAGTATTTGTGAGTAAACCTCCAGATGCACTAACTTACCTGTGCAGATCACAGGTGTGCTTCTCACTCCAGGTCTGACACACTGGTTTCACTCTTTAGATCATGCTTGTGGGGGAGTGTATAATATGTGTCTCCACCCACAGTGCACACCTCTCTGATGCTCACTGTCTCAAAAGTTTTGTCCACCTGCACCTGAAGTATGCAGGCTGCATGAAGCAGAGGGGCGAGGACAAGGTGTGACCAACAAACAGCAGCACTGTAGTTTCTTTGTTCTCCTGTTATTTTGACAAACTGCGAGCTGCCTTGTGGAGCAGTGTGTGATACCCTCATTCCTCAACGTCTCCTTATGAACCACAGCTTTTGTCTCTTGAGCGTGCAGCCTCTGCTTAGCATGCTGTGCAGTCTGACACTTGTGAAGTGAAGTGTGATTCCTTTTGAAGCAATGTGAAACATTTCATTGTGATCACTTCAAATTTTTAATGATGTGATGTTTTCTGCTCAAATTAAAGAAGATACAAAAAAAGAAACATGAAATTCATTAAACAGTTTTTTATTCATTTGAAGCACCCATACAGTACATGACATGAGTGGCAGACAGATTGTAGTGTTCAGGACTAGCTGTGCACTCTCTTGATGCTGAACACTACTGCATCAAACAGACTCATCTGCCCATCTTGTCGTACAGCTCCAGTTTAATAATAGCCTTGCCCTCATCAGACATGGAGGCCCTGACGTCCACCACCTTCCCACTGTACTTCAGCCCGGAGCCGTTGGCCTGCTGCCGCACAAACTTGGTGAAATCCTTGCTGTTGTACATGAGCTCAAACAGCTTCTTATCGCAGGCTGTGTTGTGCTCAAAGATGCCCACTCCCAGCCAGTTCTTGTAGAGGTTGTAGTCAAAGGGCACTGAGAACATGACAGCCATCAGCTCGGTGCCGCTGCGGTTGCGCATGTCAAACAGCTCATAGGTCAAGACGCCCACGGCGCCCGACGCTGTGTTGTCGTCCTTGGTGAAAGAGCACAGCTCGGTCATGGTTGCGCGGACGGTGGGCTGCGGAGGACTGAAGGCAAAGCCACTTTCCATGTGAACTCTGGAGGATAGAAGAAGGGAGATGCAGTCACACATGGTGGAAGAAGTACTCCGATCCTTTACTTAAGTGAAACTACTAATACCACAATGTACAGTAAAAATGCTACATTACAAGTTAGTCATGCATCAAAAGTTCTACTTAGCAAAATGTACTTAAAGTGTCAAAAACAGACTTCTGCAGAAACACTGGCACTGTGAGTGGCATATTGTACAATAATACTGAGGTGGAGCTAGTTTAAATGACTTCACCGTATATAGTCCATTGGTTCCTGCAGGGTCAGGCCCCATCAAAGGCTTGCAAGATAAATCATAAATTACTGATATACATATTTTACTTTTTTGACTTTTCTGTCTTTTTTTTTTTTTAATATTGAGAAGTTGAAAGGGGAGCTATCTCTTTGTTGGAAATGCAGACAACTCATCTGTGGCCCCAGGGGGCCAGAGCCAAACGGGTTTGGGAGCCACTATCTTTAACAATGCATTGTATTTTATAAGCGGATCATGTGATTTTTATATAAAATCAAAGCAGTGTTGTTAAGTAAACTGTACAATGTTTGCTTCTAAAATGTAGCAGAGTAGAAGTACGAAGCAGGATAATACTCAGGTAAGATACAAGTACTGTACCTCAGAGCTACATGCACTTACACCACTGGTAGTCATGCAGAAAAGTACCTTTCGGCATCAAGCACACAGCGTGTCTGTGGTTCTTACTTTGGGTTGACGAGACAGTAGACGGAGCTCACGTTGGTGATCTCTATGGTACAGTTGCGGTTGGTGGAGATGGTCTCACAGTGGGACTCTGCAGACTGAGGCATGGTGACGGCTGCTGGAAACACAGAAGAGCTGTGACAAGTGGAAACTGATGAGGCTGCTCCATGTTTATCATCAGTGTAATATGGTTTTATTTTTTTTAATAAGCTACAATGAAAGCTTTTCATTAAATGCATCAAGTAGAATAAGATTTTGCAGAAAAAGCAATGGATGTGTTACGTTTCTGAAGCTGAGAGGCGTGGGAACTTTGAAATGAAGATGAAGAACATCCCACCCCCACCACCACAGCACACCAGTACTACCACTTGACATTTGATTTTGTAAACGGCTCCAGCTTTATTGAAATTATCTCAAAATGAACGTACTTACTTTTTGTCACACAGGCACACGATGGCTGGGAGTCATCTGAAAACAGGTCGGGCTCTGGTATGGAGACAAGTGTGAAGACACACCCTCTGAGTCGCACAGCCGCATCTCACAGTGTCTGAGCTGATGGGGGGGTGTCTGCACCAGCACACGTGATGGTAGATTGAACTCGTAGACCAGAGTGCAGTTCAGTGCTGATGCTCACGTAACAGAGCTGGCACAGGCACATGGCAGATCAGCCCCGAGTGACAGTTTCCAGGTGAAATACCTGAAAGTCAGGTGAGATTAAGAGGAAGGAATAGCAGCCACACCTGTCAGTTTCGTGATTATAATGAGTCATTTTAGATAAAGCCCAAACTTGCCTGACTTGTTCATGTAAAAGAGCACATTATGCACTTGGTGATAAATAAGTCTTTTCACTGTGGGGTTAATCCAGTGCTGATCCAACGCATTCTGCTACATTTCTTTTGCCAAAACTTGTCAAATGAGCACATCACTGATGCACAACCTTTTGATAAAGGTTGTAACTCTCTGTTTTGACCTGTTTTTTGAAGGTGCATGTGGATGGATTACTAAGCAGGCCCCTGTGCCCGTGGGGCCACGAGGTCCCTCAACTTCACCTGCAGCACAGACTGTCGCTGAGAGACACAGTATGATCACAAGGACATGAAAACTGCTTCACATGTGCACATTAAAAACAAAGAGAAGTAAAAACACAAACAGATGACCACAAACTACTGCTACAGATGCAAAAATGGCCCTGTGGAATCACAGGCATGATTACTGACAAACATCTTTATGCAACAGCTTTGTACATTTTCAGTCAACATACACAAGGCACCTGTTGGATAAATACAGTACCCAGTAATCTAGTCATCGCATGCATCTCTGGGTCGTGAACCTTCTTTAATTTGCTCCACTTTAGCACCATCCTGTGGTCAAATCCAAACAGCCCAGGAAATAAAGAGAGACTTCACATCACAACGACTGCATGAAGCTGGGCTTTTTGTAGAAAGACCAAAATTAGACTCCACCACTTAGCACAGCTTGGAGCATGTCGCCTTAGTGTTTCTTTCTTTATAAATTCTGGCACTGATGATCTTGTTTTGAAGTAAATTACTGGAAACTGATCGTCTGTGGCTTTGACTACAAGATGGTGCCAAATCGGCACAGAGTAAAGAGGAGTCACAGACAGGCGACACAAATCAAGGCTTCATCACTGAATGAATGTAATAATCCTGCAGGGCTCCTTGTGTATGTTCAATGAAAATACATTTATTTAAGGTCCTTTGCTTCTCTTTGTTCCTGATGAAGTGTTGAGCTTTATTTCAGCACTATGTTTCAGAATCAGGATCAGCTTTATTGGCCAGGTGTGTTGAACACATGTCACACAAAACATGTCACACTAGAACTGAACCCCGCACTCACCTGTGATTTGTGTACCCACCCACCAAACAAGGACTTTGTACCATATACCTCATCATGTTACTTCTTCTCTTGTGTTATAATTACTATGGTCACTGGATGTTGCCAAACTATAACAAACAACGGTTGTAAAAACTTGCTGGCACATATGAGGTGCAGAGTGAAACAGTGGAGCAGACAGAGCTGGGATTTGGATAAACAGACAACACACGTTTGTAGCATCAGTTCATTGTTTGTTTCGATTTTTTCATTGGATTTGTCATCACTAAGAAGAAAACACCATCCTCTTTCTTTAACCTCCTGAGACCCAGAAGAAAAAAATAGTTGCTGCAGTTGCTGCCATTCTAAAAATACAGAACATGTGATCTGCTGGCCACACACAATTTGTGTGACAGCACTAGAAAGCTCAGGATGTCCTCTTTCCAGGACATTAGGACACAAACAGGCTGCAAGCATGGTGTTTAAAATAAAGGCCACAGTGTCATGTCCCCCACAGAGGACAAATATGAATTGCCGGGTCTTAGGGGGTTTTAGGGCAACACAGAGTTCACATGGCTCCACCAATGATGGATGTCAGACCCGTCTTCTCTTTTATCCAGCGGTTATAATTGGCCACTTTGGTGTAAACGCCAGGTCGGAACTCCATTGCGCAGCCGTCGCCCCAGCTGATGATTCCAAAAAGGAAGAGCCTGTCATCGATCTCGCACACCAGAGGCCCTCCTGAGTCTCCCTGTGGGAAAGAAACCAGCAGCATTGAAGGAGATCAACAGACTGATCTGTCGAAGCGAAGCCTGATTGAGTTCAGACATGTGCGAATACCTCGCATGCATCCTGGCTCCAGTCGGGACGAGCGGCACAAAACATGTTGTCAGTGATCATGTCTCCATAGTAATCCCTGTGGCGACACACATTGTCAGCGAGGAGGTTCACCTGAGCCTGGCGGAGGTACTGCGACTTATACCACAAACCTGGAAAGAAGGGAAGCGGTTACAACCAAACGCATAATGTCCAGCTTCTTTAGGTTTGACCAATATGGTCAGAGAGAATGAAATGCATTAACTTGGCAGCTGTAAGGTCAAGGTGCTGTACCCAAGTGATGTTGCAGTTACAGATTTTACTTCCAGATCATGAACTCGGGTAAAGCCTGCAAGTTATTTGCAACTAGCAGGTACAGGTTGTTGTCAGTGAGTCCACCACTTTGGTCCAGACTGAAATATCTCACCAACCACTGGAAGGTTTGGCATGAAACTTTATACAGATATTCATGGTTCCCAGAGGATGACACCTAATGTCTTTGGTGACTGGCTGTTATTTTCTTTAGTACTACTGTGAGATTCACAGTTGTAGATTGGAGTATATTGTCAACAACTATTGGATGAACTGCCATGACCTTCAGCTGTAATAACTTAAACAACACACGTTTGTAGCATCAGTTCATCCTTCAGCTGTAATAACTTTTGCAGTCATCTGACTTTTTATTTGTCCAGCAGTTTGATTTTCTGTACAATGAACATTAAAGCCTCACAGAGCTGCTCGCACTGTCAACACATCATTGAGATAAATGTATGAAAAATGGCTGTTGGGGGGAGAAAACGTCACTTCTTCAGGAAGTTTGTAACAACCGTGTTTCAAATCAACACAACATGGCTGCACTTGGTAAATGGACTAACACAGCAAACCGGACATATTTGATCTGAACCTGAATATCTCCAGCTCAACACCAGTCAGTCAGAACTGATGAAGCCTCTTGGATGAGAGGTGAAACGTCTTCGACCTAGAAACCTAGTCCAGTTGATTTTTTCTAAGGTTATTTCGGTTTACTATGACCTGGATGACTGAGAATCTGCACAGACGACTAACACAGCACTTTTCTAAACAGTATTCTGAGGACTTTCCTCACCATATTTCTCTTTCCCATATCCAGCGATCTCACAGGTGGCCCCAGGCTGGAGCTTCACCCAAGGTGGAGGCAGACAGACGGGCCTCACCCAGGTACTCTCCTCTGCACACTTCCTATGTCTGGGCTCCAGCTTCAGCAGGGCTGCCAGCAAGTTATAAATGAATTATTATTTTATAAATTATTATTTCATTATATGGTCAATACTTCAGAATCCAAAGATGTGTTCACACCGATGTCATTGTTGAAGTTCCCCTCAATGTCATCAAACCCTTCGTGGATGATGATTTCCTCCACCCTGAATGTTTGCTCCATATTCTGCTCCGTCTCATTCAGAGCATTTTTCCCCAGGATGACGGAGAAGTGGTGCGCTTTGTGGGAGCTGAAACAGACATTCACAGCACTCAGTCCAGTCATCCTGCTCTTTGGTAGCACCTGCTGTGGTTACAGTAAGTAATCCCACTTCCTACCTGTCTGGGAAGCAGTGTGCAGCTGTGAGGACCCAGCAGGTGGAGATCAGACTCCCCCCACAGCGAAAAGACTGCTTAGCTTTGCTATGCCAAAATATGGCAGCCACCCATGGATGGGATTCCACTGTGGCAACTGTTCCACCCACGATCTTCATCTGCTTTCTTCTGATGCGCTGGCCACATGTTGACTCAACAGCTGGGGGTAAACCAAAGGTCAGAACATGTGGGAAAGAGCATGACAATGGGACACGGTGAGATTAGTAAGGGTGTTAGATGATAAAGCTCAGGAGAAGGTGATGTTTCTTACCTGACTTCTTCCCCTACTGCTTAGCTCTGCCTACTTCCGAGTTTTGGGATCTAACATTTACCATTTGGTAACTTACCTGGTTGTGGCTCAGTGGCTGCAGGCGAAGGTGGGGCTGTAACTACAAGAGCAGAGAGAGATTTTCAGCAGTGGTGGAGCGTGCACTCTGGATTAGCTTTTCTTGGAAGACTAAAGAGAAAAAGCACTTACAGGACTCAAAGCCACAACGGGGAATATCACAGAACTCCCACACCAGCTGCTGGTTCTTCCAAACATTACACCACGGGCGCCGTCTGTAGTGAAGGTTTCTGCAGAAAACATGACAACACATCCATCAGGCTGTCGAGTATGTGCTGGCTCTCTAGTCCTGCACAAATCACAGACAGGTTGGCTTCTAGTTTTAAAAAACAGCTTTTCTCAGTTGGCTTCTTAATATGAGAGATGAGGTTCTTGTGAACAAAACATTTTCTACTTCAGACTGTTCTGACATAAACGTGACTCAACAGGCATCAGAGGAGTCTAAAGGTCGATGTGTGCCAAGGAGTTTGTTAATGTGCTTGTTTGGTATCTTTAAAACACAGTTTAATGAATTAATGAGTGAATTATCAGCAGTTCAACTCATCATTTCACAGAAACATATGTTTATTAGTTCTGAAGTGGTCTGAAAATAAAAACTAAATTTACAGAACTTACACTACTGTATGTATTAAGTTCATAAGAAATATTTGTTAATTCCACTTTTGCTACTATTTATGCTTTTTACTAATGCCCATCATAGATGCCAAGATGCATTTGGTTTGTACTGGTAACATTCATTTAGACTCTTTGGTGAACATCCAGCGAGTGAACATCCAGCCTGAGCTGCATCTGTCCACGTTGTAACAGTAATTCATTCACCAGTGCAAAGCCAGAATAAACCTGGCGGGATATTTACAGACTGTACCTGCAGTAGTTGTGCCTCCCTCTGTTGATGTCGGAGGACAGATACCGCTCCCTGGTGTCTGCGTCCCACTCCTCACATGTCCGCCTGCTCTCCGACTGTGACACTGTGCCTCTGTAGTACAGTCCAACTCCCTCGTAGCAGTGGACACCTTTTACTAAAGGAAAAGCAGATGTAAACATATGAGAAAGACACATATGGTTTGGCATGTTGTTAAGCTCCTCACCAGTTTCACAGTGTTTTCCCTCAAAACCATCAGCACACAGACAAAATATGTGTTCACCAGTTGTCAAGGATGGGATAGAGGTGCCTCCGTTCAGACAGACCCCACCTAAGAAACAAAGCGACACGCTTCATGCTCAGGGAACCAGAACTCAACTAACAGAGCTTTGACAAATGTAACGTTTCTCACCTGAACGTTCACCGGCGGAGGAGCACAAAGATGAGGAGGATGAAAAGATGGATGAGCCCTAAAAGTATAAAAAGTATAAAATCTCCTGAAAAGGATAAACAACACTTCAGCACAAGTAAGATAAAGATCTTCTTACTGCTTCAGCGGTGGACACGGCTGCCAGGGCCCATAGTAAGGCACCAAGAGTTTTCATCTTGATCACTGCTCAGGTTGAGACCAAATAACCTTTGCATGAATGTGCATGCAGAGAGCTGTGTGGGTATGTTTATTCTGTGTGTGCCTCCTCGGGGTTTGGCTCTGTTTTGTCTGTGTGCAGGGAGGGGGGAGACGCCTCATTACCTGAGAGGCTCCTGAAGTTAACTATGTAGACGAGTCAGTGTTGTTATTCCACACTAATTTCTAGGAAACTATGGCATCTGCTTGGACCTGCAGATGTTCACGTGTGGAATTTAAGAGATTTGGACTCAAAAGGAATCTGGATCAAAACCTGCTTGTGACTGTTGCAGGATGTTGGTCTCCCTCAGAAAGTCTCACCGCTACAGCAGCTGTTGGGCTCCTGACACAGAAACGGACACATGGAGCTTCCTGCTTCGCCCCAGTGGCCTCTCACAGGACACTGCTATGGAAAAGTGCCCATAGACTCGGTGGTGGAAAGTAACTAAGCACATTTACTCAAGTACTCTACTCAAGTACTGTACTAAGGTACACTTTTGAGGTAACTGTACTTGAATATTTTCATTCTCTGCTACTTCATACTTTGACTTCACTACATTTTAAAGGCTAATATTTTACTTTTTACTCCACTACCTTTATTTTATAACCTTAGTTACTAGTTACTTTTCAGAACCAGATTAATTTAAAAATGCAGTATAATTATAAGACCTCATTGATCCATAGTGGAACATTCACAAGCTGCCCAGCAGTAATTCTAATTAAATGCATATAAACCAGTTAAAACTAGCTTCTCCTTTACCCACTCCAACATTAAATGTGAAATACACAATACTGCATCAGTCATTATAATCCAATAACATGATATACATTAATGTGAAACGTGCCATTCTGCATACTGAGTACTTTTACTTTTAGTACTTTAAGTATGTTTTGTTGCTAATACTTTTGTACTTTTACTTAAGTAACATTTTGAATGCAGGGCTTTTACTTGTAATCGAGTATTTTTACACTGTTGTATTGCTACTTTTACTTAAATAAAGAATCTGACTACTTCTTCCACACTGCCATAGGCCACAATTATACAAAAGACATCTGTAAATGTTTTGACAAAACACTCTGAAGGTTGATTATTACTGACTGTATCATACATTTTTAGCCCATGAAGGTTTTATATTTGTAAAAATCACCCATAGCCTAAAAAAGTGATTTTTTCCCCCAGTTTGTTTAAAAGATACAACAGACAAAGGCCTCCAAATAAACTCACCTTCATTTAGAACAGAATAATAATGTAGAGTAATTAAAATGAAATAAATAAATAAACAATGCCTGGTTGTTGAAGAGAAGCTGCCTTTTTAAAATAACATTTAAATAGAGCAGGAACGTTTTTCCTCAACCAGCAGATTGTAGTAATTTGGACATATAATAAAAATAGAAAATTAAACCTAGTCAATAATAATTAACGACATGAACTATATTTGAAACCTTTGATTGCTTCTGGTTTTGGTGAACTTGTGTTTTGTACGTCAGCCCAGTGGAGTCACCAGATGTCACTGTTGCTCTGTGAATATCGGAGGCCATTTGTCCTGACTGTACCTGAAGCGCACCGCATCCCCGTCACTGTCACCAACAGGATCATCTTAAACAACCTGTGTGACCTGAGGAGATCACAGTAAAACCTACCATGCACTGTACACATGCACAGGCCTGTGGTTTAATGACCAGGATGATGATGATGGAGAGGATGGTGTTGATGAAGATATGAATGTTATTCCTGCACCCGAATCTCTGTCTGGTGTGTAAACTGAAACAGTTTTATTCAACGAAGAACATAAATGACAGCAAATATGCGCAGTAGGATCCCGGAAGTCGCTTAGTTTGGATCCTGCTTTGTCAAAGCTGCGTTCAAGTGCCGTCGGATTTCTTTATTATTTTTTATTTTTTATTTATTTATTTGTGGAAAGCACTCTGTTTCTAGTTATGATTGCTGTTCTTGATCTATGCATATTTTTCTTTTTACTAAACATCGCTGTGCTCTTTCAAGTATTTAAATTTCAATAAGCTGAGAAAAACTGTTGATGTAATTAAATATTACTTGGAAGTGAAAATATATATTGATTTCATCATAATGTATGTTTTTGTAGATTAAGTAGCCTAAGTTAGGAAGATATCAGGACAATGAGGTAGAACTTGGTCATTGCGGAGATCTTAAGTTCAACTTAGTTGCCAGAGAGGTTGGACTTTCCGAGCAGCTTGTGAACGCCTCGGAGCGCAGAGTGGTGGTGCTCAGTGCATGAGGAGGATTATCTCTGTGTTAACACGGATTCAAGCAGGAGGTTTGTGTTAAAGAAATGGGAAACACCGACACCAAACTTCACTTCAGGAAGGCGGTGATTCAGCTCACAACCAAAACACAGGTCGGTGGGTGTTTTTTTTTTGTAGAAGAAAACAGAAAAACGCGTAGCAGCACAGTGGCGCGCCTCGGTTGTGCGTTTGTGGTTTAAATTGAGCCTGTGGAGATAAACTTGGTGCCAGATGGTCGCCTGAACTGAAGTTTAGATGACACAAAGTGGAGAGAAAGTCAAGGCAAACGCTTCAACCTGTTTGTAAATTGGTGATAACTGACAAAAAGTATTGTTTATTTTGAGAAATCTTGATATTACTATCAATATTCTTGCAGTTTAAGCTGCTAGAAACGCTTTCGGCCTTTGGATGATTCGAGTTTTTACTATGTGCTGTTTATTTTGTGAAATGATCTTTAAAAAAAACTTGAAAATGCCACATGTGACTTGAAAAATGTTGAATGCCTTTTTTTTTTTTTAAAGAGCAGCAGAGAAGTGTTCACCTGGCAGGTGCATTTAAGAACTGACTAGTTAGTCTATTTGAATCTGCTGGTGCCAGTGCCAGGACTGTTTGTGGGTTAAAGCTGCAGTTATCAGTCGATTTGTTGAATGACAGAAATTAATCACACATTCTTTTGATAACTTTCCAAACAACAACACCACCAAGCGTTTTATGTGATATTATCGCGTAGACGTTTGGTTTTCCAGTGTTGGTCAGACACCTGAAGACATCACTTTAGACTGTAGGTAATGATATGTCTTTTGCCAATTTTCTGCCATTTTGTGACCAAACGGTTGTTTGAGAAAATAAGAGGCAGGTGAACTGATGGTGAAGTACCAATTAATTGCAGCCTAAATATGGGTTTTTGCTATCCTACATACTGTATACTAATGTTTAAGTCAAGACCATTGATGTGCAGCTTTTCATATCTGCCTGTCAGATATGAAAAGCTGGATTATTCGAACATAAGACTATGATAAATGCTTTATTGATTAGGTTTATTTTTAAGCCAAAATGTCCAATATCCAATAGCTTCCACCTTTTAAATGTGAGAAGTCTTTCTGACTTTCCTTTCAGTTAAATATCGTTGGATGTTGGTGAGACAAAAAATTAAATTTGAAGATTTACAGACTATGGACACATCAGCTGAATATAATATATGTAATAGTGGCTGCAGAATCACAGCTGCTCTCCTCATTTGAAGTTTAGTGCACGTGTGGTCAGAGGTGATGATGTCCAGGCTGGCATCATGTTAAAGACCCACACACGTGAACACACAGGCTGAAACGTGTGTGTCCTCTCCTGCAGCCTGTTGAGGCCGCAGATGATGCCTTCTGGGACCAGTTCTGGGCTGACACCTCCACCACCGTCCAGGATGTTTTCACTCTGGTTCCAGCAGCTGAGATCAGAGCCGTGAGAGAGGAGTCTCCGTCAAACCTGGCAACCCTCTGCTACAAGGTAACCTGCACAGAGCACTCGGCAGGACAGCGTGTGTCAGACGTAGTAGCTGCAGGCTCCAAGTGCTTTGGTCCATCCTGGTTACAGCCAGAGTCACAGGAATGTTGCTGTTTGTTGTTCTCACACTTGAAGCCTTTGACACACCAGTTTGTAAAGGTTAAAGGTTGTTCATATAAAGCATAGGTTTTAGGTTCAAAACAGGTGAGAAAGGTAAAAACAGCTAACAGGAGCCTATATTTCCTGAATCAAGGTGCATATTTGTATCTGAGACTAAACAAATACACAGACCGGCCATTTTATTAGGTACACCTGTACAATTGTTTGCACTTCAATGCAGCATTAACATCTGTGTCTGTGAAGCTCAAAATGTTTCAGTTTTTGGTGAAATTGTAGTAAATGTATAAAATGTTCTTAATATTCTGACCCTGTCATGTATGTAGCTGGGAAGGACAAAAATATAGGACACCTCTAAATATAATGTAGCCCAGTACAACACCACCTTTAACTATGACCTCAATAAACATAGAATTGAATTTATACATCTATACATTGACACTTTAGCCAAAAACAAACATGTTGAGCTTCAGAAACACAGATGTTAAGGCAGAAGTGTTGGACTGAGGTACATAGAGATGTACAGGTGTACCTAATAAAGTGGCCAGTCAGTGTACCATCTAAATATAAATTAAGTTAAGTACTTTTTTGATACCAGTCACGGGTCTTCATGAGCAAATTACAAGTCACAAAAAGTTTGTCAGGTCTCTGAAAACTGACAGTTACAATCATATAACATTTAAATTTTAATTGTCACTGTACAAAACAGAAGATTAAAAACAGAATAAGACAGAGTAGAGAAAAATGCAGTGCAGCTAGAAAGCAGTGCACGACCTACAGTGAATAAATGAAAAATAATAAAGTTAGTCTTGTTCATGTGCATGTTTTGTCAGGCGATGGAGAAGTTGGTCCAGGGCGCGGACTCTGGCTGCTCCTCCGACAAAGAGCGTCAGGTTGTGCTGAACTGCACCCGCCTGCTCACCCGCATCCTCCCCTACATCTTTGAAGACCCAGACTGGAGAGGCTTCTTTTGGTCCACCGTGCCTGGAGCCGGCAGAGCCGGGGTATGACTCTGACAATGAACCAGTTACAGGAGGAGGTGGTGGAGAGATACTCTGCTGAGGTCTTACACTGTAGAACCAAGCTCCTGCACACTCTCTAGTGTCACTTCCTGTTTGTCACTCAGTCGCCTGCTCAGAGAACATGACAAGTGTGAAGGTCCAGCTCTGGGAAGTCTTTGGGCTGGAAAGTGCATCACTGGTCACACTGGGGGATTTATAGTGACTTCACTTTAACACTGGTGAAAGACAATATGCTGCTCTTATTTACTTTAGTCCTTCATGTGGACTGTAAGAGGAAAGGAATGCATCAAGGAAACGATAACAAATTCCAACCTAACCTGTGTGTGTGTGTGTGTGTGTGTGTGTGTGTGTGTGTATGTGTATGTATATACACCCATGCTGTATGAGTGGTTATATTAGTCGTGTTTATGTCCTGACAGCTGTCCCTCTTTTCACTCTTCTTCATTCTCATTATCTAATTACTGTTTTAATTCTTTAGCTGTCAGGGGATTATTTACCCACAGTGACTGGCAGAGCTGTTTCTAGACCTGTAGTTCACCATATCAGTTTATAAATAGATGATATGTCAGTGTGCACATTGTGTTTCTGCTGTGCCCAGGTGGCAAAACAAATCAGCTAGTGCAGGTTTGTCATTGCAGCCAGGAGAACTCAAGAAGCAAAACTGATGACTTGAGGCAACTAATGCTCAAAAAAAATTTGTTTTCTTCATACACTTGGTAGAAACTTGGTGAGAAAGATAATGAAATATGCCTTTAAAGTCACAGCAGCAGCAGAGGTTGTGTACAAGTACTACATGTTGAGTTGGAAGCAGCTGATGACAGCTGAATCTGTGTAGAGCCTTTCAGCTGTGCACACATCTGAGGATTTGAGGCCCTCTGAGCTTCTCAGTCATAATGGTCTGCTCAGGTAGAAGTGATGGTGCTTTCTCATTTTCAGAGCAGGGTCTGAGCTGTAAGATGAAACTGATGTCGAGGTCTCTGTCCAAAGGCAACCATCCCCTCCCTCCTCTTCCTCCTGACACTGCTGGTTCTCCGGTTACCTGGTCGGCAGGGGACCACGGTCCAAACACTGCCCACATTGTGTCTCCCCCTCCTCCTGGCCAGTGGTTGAATTAAGGAGGGATTGAATGTCCCTAAATTAAAGTGTGGGAGTGAGGTAAAATGCAGAGCTGCAGGAAATGGAGCAGAATTCAGTTTTGTGGTTCTGTAACAAAGATGCTGTCACTTACTCAATTTGAATAGAATGAACCAGTGACTTTTTCATTTGTAAACTGTGTGAGCTAACATTTCAGGAATCACACTAATTTTCTTTGCTGCAGACAGATAGATGAGGGATTGATGCCACTCTTATAACTGTACATTAATATGAGGCTCTAGCCACCAGCTGGTTAGCATAGCATAAACACTGGAAATGCGGGGAACAGCTAGCCTGCCTCTGTTTCTGTACTAAAACCTGCCTAGCTGTACCTCTAAAGCTCATTGATAAGCATATGTCATTGGTTAAATAAAGCTAAAGTATAAAAATGACTGTGGTTTTACTGTTTCTTTACTGGGACAAGTTGCCAGTCAGCAGAAGGTTACCCGTACAAACATGAGAGCAGTACCAGTCTTCTCACTGAGGTCTCGACAAAAAAGCAAATACTTTTCTCTTAAAGTGTTTCTGTTATTTTGTCCACTTAGTGGACAATTTCCCCTTTTGCATTTGTGCACTGTCAAAGCAATGAATGTGACCTGTCTGACCCTTTTATCCCCACAGCGTCTGGATGAAGAGGGTGATGATGATGAAGCTCGCCCGCTGGCTGAGTCCCTGCTGCTGGCCATCGCCGACCTGCTCTTCTGTCCAGATTTCACCATCCAGACCCACAAGAAGAGCAGCCCGGTGAGTCCACTGACCCTCTACATTCAGACCTCAGTATGCCACAGTGCACCTGGAGACTAATACCAGCCAGAATTCAGCATCTCATTAAAGAGACTTAGCCAAGCGTGGCATCTGGTTATTCAGCACTGGGTGAGAGGGAGGACCTTTCTGTGCCACATGTGGTGTTGCTTAAAGGAATAGTCAAGACTTTGAGACTTATTCAATACTTTAACAACAATCTCTTGTCTGTGTGTTAAATACAGAGGTGAAGTGAGAACTAGGTTAGCCTAGCTTAGCATACTTGAAACAGGAGTATTTTTACCTTTGGATGCTTCTTTATTGGGGGGGGGCTCTGTTTTCCTCCTGGTTGTGCCCAGTATGTGCCAACTCTGGTGGTCACCAACATGACAAAAACAGTTGGACACACCCATATACACATTCATCTGGAGCTTAGACTTGTGTTAGCCTCTGCACCCTATTTCAGGAAAATAATCTTTTATGCTAAGCTAGGCTAACTGCATCATCACTCTCAGAAAAAGAGCAAGTGTATTTCCCAAAATGTTTATGTTCTTTGAGTGTCTTCACAGAGACCAGCTTCAACCTAGTGTTTACTTTCTTTTAGCCTTTAAGCTACAACAGTGTCAGTACTTTGCTGCTGATGTAACAGTCAGATTGCTGATATTTAGCCCCGTGGCAGTGCAGTTAGCACTGTTATCGCCTTCACACAACCTTCTCAGGCGGAAGCTTGAGTTAATGAGTGACTCCTCATGTCACAGAGAGGGTGGAGTGGCTGTGTTTGTCAACTGGGCTGAGGAGAACAGGGTGGACACTTCTTAACCATGCTGAGCAAATACCTGGGTTAGTGGAAAGCAGGGGAGGTGAGAGAGAAAGGCTCTGCTGCAGGTCTTGACCCCCCCCCCCAAAGGGCCCCCCCCTTTGCCCCCCCGCAGGCCGTGTTGAACTCAGTGGGGTGTGGATGGAAAATGACCAGCGGTTGTTTGTCTCCATGTCTCTGGGACTTTGGGTTTGAATGCTGGCTTCCCAGTGAGGGCTGATTGATTTGGAGGGTCGGAGGTGTCTGTGTTAAAGGGCTAGTTCACCAAAATTGTCCGTTTTTTTTTTTCTTTTTGCAATATATTGTATATGTTAAGATTTGATAACTTTTACATTTACCCACCTTGGGGGTGGTTGGAGGGCTGAAGGAAGGAATGGGGACCTTTTTCAGTTGTTTTCTAGTCTGCATCATTTTTGATAACTCAAATATTAAACTTTTTTAAATGAAGGTTTTTAGGGGTTATGTACCTGTTAAAATCAACCATCCTCCCCTGAAAGCTGCCTTACAGGTTGCCTGTGCAAGCAGCTAATTACAACCCATAGTTGTGTTTATTTTTGGTGACATCTAGTAGCTGAAGTAATTATGACCAGAGCAAAGGAGGAAGTCGTTTGACATAGTGAATAGGGTAGATCTCAACTGCCTTCATTGCATCCACGTTTCCCTCACTCACATCTTGTGTCTCAGTCTCGTCGACCTAAAGAATTGAAGAAACACATTTATATGCGATGTCTTTTCCTTCAGTCCTTCATCTGATTGTCTAATCACCAACTGATTTCCAAAAACAGGGGCGTGTTGATCCATAAAAGACTTCTGCCAAGGATGCTCTTTTGTATCCTTGCCCACTTAAAAGACTTGGGATGTATCCACTGAGTCAGGAGGTCTGATCCACCTCTGGCTGTAGGGGCAGTATTTTAGGAGATGCTGCTATGGGTTGTACACATATCCAAAGCAAGGAACAAACAACCTGCAGTATGTGGATGTTTAGGTCGGAGGACTTGTTATGAGAAGGAGACAGAAAAAAAAGTCTCAGACAAATCACTTTAAAAATGTCTGCACTTTTCTTGTAAAATAATGGATGTTTTTTTCATTTCTTCAGAGCTCTAAACTCTTGTTGAAATGCTCACATCTTATCTGTGATGAAGGTTTGAAAATAGACTTTTTTTTAGGGATTCTCAAGCCAGAATCGCTAAACTGCTGCTCCCAGGGTTTGGTTGAACACCAGTGAACCCAGTGCCCTTTACTGTCAGTTTGCTTGTGCAGAACAGTGGTAGCATGTCATCAGGTCTATTCATGAAGCTTTAGTAATCTGGGCTGAGGTGTCACATGCAGACAGTGTCAGCAGAGAACGCAGCTCAGTCCACTTGTTGAATCACATGGTAGCAGAAGGTGTGAAAACGGTCCACTGCTGTGGACCAGAGCTTCAGCTGTGAAACGTAGCTGTGGATGAATGTGCTGAAGAATAAGAATAACAGAGTGAATGTGTCTCCAGTTGTGTTACAAGCAGTCAGTTCATTAAAGTCTTTAGACTAGTGTTAAAGGCCGCTAACCATTGAAGAATGACAGTGTATGCTGTCGTATTTCAGCTCATAATAGGTTTATTTTTTATGCCTAAAGTATGTTTGATAACATTTTGTTTCTTGGCAGTTTTGTCATAGATTACATTTACCATCTGTGAAATGCATCAGGTGTTTTTTGAGGTTTATTGCTTAACTATTTTGATTATGGACAGGAAGGACTTATGTATGTGATGCAAGAAATTCATCTACCTAAGTAAACATGGCAGTACAGCACTTAAGTAAATAAAGCATGTACAGTGCAGTATATGGTTATTTTCCACCGCTAAATCAAAAGCTGATGTCACATTCTTGGGTTACAGTAACTGCACGAAGGCTGTGACTAATGATATTTTCATCGCTGGTTGTTCTGTTGTAGAAACTGTTGTGCTTTTAAATATCAACAGCCCAAAACTCAGAAATATTCACTTTATGAGACAGAAAATCAGCAGACCCTCACATCTGAGAAACTCGAACCAGAATGTGTTTCACATTCCTAGTGAATGGTTTAAACAGGCGCCCTGGTGGTTGAATGGTTAAACGTGTTACTCCATCGTCATGATACAACAGTATGGTGGTGGAAGAAGTACTCGGATCCTTTACTTAAGTTAAGGGACAGTGTAAAATTACTCTGTTGCAAGTAAAAATCCTGCATTCAAAATGTTAAGTTAAAGTACAAACGTATTAGCATCAAAACATACTTAAAGTACTAAAAGTAAAAGTACTCAGTATGCAGAATGGCACATTTCACATTAATGTGTATCATATTATTGGACTGTAATTACTGAAGGTATAAAATAAAGGTAGTGGAGTAAAAAGTAAAATATTAGCCTCTAAAATGTAGTGAAGTCAAAGTATGAAGTAGCAGTGAATGAAAATATTTAAGTACAGATACCTCCAAATTGTACTTAAATACAGTACTTGAGTAAATGTGCTTAGTTTCTTTCCACCACCGAGTCTGAATGAGAGCCAGGTGCTGTGCGTTTGTCACCATTTACACTTGATGTTCTTGTCTCTGCTGCAGGAGTCAGCCGAGGACATTCGGTCCATAGACAGCTGTGAGTACATCTGGGAGGCCGGGGTGGGCTTCGCCCATTCACCTCCTCCCAACTACATCCATGACCTCAACAGGTAAGGCTGCAGCATCAGTGATGCCTTTCTGCTTGTTACTATAGCTAAGACGCTGATGCACAGAGGTGGAGGATCAGACCAGGGACAAGTTTATGGTGCAGGTTCAGACCTGATAGCGCCATCATGTGGCTTCTTCATCACTAAGCACTTTTGACCACATCCTTTTCTGCCTAAACATATTTTCCACTATTCTTTGTGTAAGGTGCCACTTGATTTCATTTGTGCATACTTTTTTTAATAACTGGTTGCCATATATTTGTAGGTGGAGTCTGTATGAGATAAACAGTGAACACTGAATAAATCAACTCTGATTATCCTGCAACAATCAGTTCCATCTCCTCGTATGTAGCACCGCAGCAATGTGGTAAACGCAAATGGCTGTGGAATTGTCCAAAACCAAAAACCTGCTCGCTTAAGGAAGGTGTTTATGCAAAAAATTAATATTACTCTCACAAATAGCTGACTTGAGAAATCCAGCATTGCTCAGGCTGTAGTATGTACAGTACATACTGTACTATAGTTAGCAAAGTGTGTAAGTTTTAGTGCTGTCCTGTCAACTTGTTTCTTCAGGACAGAGCTGCTGAAGTTACTCCTCACCTGTTTCTCCGAAGCCATGTACCTTCCTCCTTCCTCTGAAAGCAAAAACCTCAATCCCTGGGTCACCTTCTTCTGCTCCTCAGAGAACAGGTAACGCACACATGCGTCACCCTCTGCTGCGCATTCACCTACACTATGGTAACAGAAAGTGACCCCTCTGAAGACCCCCTCACTTCTGAACATGTGGCAAACTGTGACCACTCAGTGCAGATACACAGCAGCTATACAGGGCTGATGTGCCTCCACCTGTCTCTCACTGCTTCACCCAGACATGCCCTGCCTCTGTTCACCTCCCTGCTCAATGTGGTGTGCGCCTACGACCCTGTGGGATATGGCATCCCGTACAACCACCTGCTGTTCTTCAACCACCGGGAGCAGCTGGTAGAGCAGGCGATCCAGATTCTTATCGTCACCCTGGAACATGAAGCTGGGTCAGCAGTAAGCGCCGCCCTCCAGGCTCTGGACACCTCCGCATCCCCTTCACCTAATGAGGAGCAGGAGGTGTGAAGGAGATTAATCTATTTTTTCTAATTACAATAAAAACCGTGATGATGAATCAGAATTTAAAATGCTCTTTGATCTTTTTTTCAGCCTGCTGGACCTGATAATCTTTTTGTGAACTATCTCTCCAGGATCCACAGAGAAGAGGTACTCTAAAATGTATATCCGAACCATTTAGCATTGACTAAATCATGCTTTATGGTGTTATAGTGTGTATTCTTTTTGTTTACCAGGACCTAAGCCTCATCCTGAGAGGCCTGGCTCGGCTACTGAATAATCCTCTGCTCCAGACTTACCTGCCTCGTTCCTCCAAGAAGATCCAGTTCCACCAGGAGCTGCTGATCCTTTTCTGGAAGTTCTGTGACTTCAACAAGGTGCAGAGCTTAGCTTCTGTGGGAACATCTCATGCCTCTTATATGAGCGTTCCTTTGTCCTTGTTTGACCTGAAAGTCGTCCCAGTTGACCGAGAATGTAGGATGTTCCAAGTCTCCTATATTGGCTCTGAGGAGCGATGACTGAGGACGGTGCTGAAAGAGCCGTGATCAAGGATACACCAGACCGTCCTTCATAGAATTTTTTTTTTTTTTGTGTGTGCGTTTTTGTCATCTCCATTCATGTTTGATGTCAGTCACTGCGTGTCTAGTTTTTTCCATGTTAGCAGTGTGGCTCTAGGTGTCGCTCTGCCAGTTGATCCAGATGGAAATATCTCAACAACTACTGGATATATTGCAATGAAATGTGATTATTTATGGTTCCTAGACTATCTATGTTAATGACTCTGTGATCTAGCTCCATTATACTGTTTATATTTGTGTTGTTTATATTTCATTTGAATGAAATATAATATATAATATACTATAATATAGTGAATGAAGCTGACTAGGTTTTGTTTGTGTTTTAGAAATTCCTGTTCTTTGTTCTGAAGAGTAGCGATGTGTTGGACATGCTGGTTCCCATCCTCTTCTACCTGAATGATGCCAGCGCTGATCAGTGTGAGTCACACTTGCTAGTTTCTCTAAATATCATCCTGTCTGTGTAAGTATCTGAAGGTGAGTGTGAACCTTGTGCTCTGAAAACTCAGTCTTTTTGTTTGTGTGCGTCTGCAGCTCGTGTGGGTCTCATGCACATGGGTGTGTTCATCATCCTGCTGCTAAGCGGAGAAAGAAACTTTGGCGTTCGTCTGAACAAGCCGTACGCTCTCCGTGTCCCCATGGACATTCCTGTGTTCACTGGAACCCACGCCGACCTGCTCATTGTGGTAAGAGGTTCAGTGGTGAAGCCAAAGAGCTCTAACCACTGTTTGTGACCAGATTCAAATGGATTTAAATCTGCCCCGTTTACAGTATATTGGAGTTGACTTCGATTTGTTCAAAACTTTGAACATGCTAAAAGTTCCAAGTAACAACTGTAACAAGCTAACATTAGAGTTAGCATGTGAAAATGCTAATATGGTGTCACAATTGACATGTTAACATTAACCAGACATATACATGTAGATGCCTTGTCTGGCTTGGGAGATGCATCTCTTATTATAACGTTTGAAATGTTCTTATAATAATGTGCCATTGAAAATGTAAATATGAAAAACAAATATTTCAGTACAAGTATCGTAGACTGGCCACTGAACCCTCTACGGGGTAATTTTGCTAGAGCTAGTTGATGGATGGATTTAAATGTACTATTTGTTGTAATTTTGTATATTTAATTTTTATTAGTTACTTTTTAAATCTGTATTAATCCTGAAAATTGTTAACAGAATAATGTGGCAGCCATTTTACAAAGCAATAAGACAAAAGAATAATTATCCTAACTAATTATGATAAGTTCAATTTAAATACTATATTATAGAAAAATCTGTCATGATCTACAAAGTGTTTTGGCAGTTTAACAGTTTTAACTGTTGTGTATCTAGTATTTAACAAGCCAAACTGCTGGACATTTTGTTGTAAATCTACTGAGGTGTGATGATTTTAATTGTGAGGTACAGAGAAGCTGTGCCTCAATATGGCGGCTGTGGTTACGCATTGCAGCATTAACAGCACTGGCTCATGTGATATCTTCAAGTTTATATCTATGGAATATTTCTGTTTTCAACATCCTAGAAATGTGAGTGGAATCCTGATACCATTTTCACTGTAACTGTTCACTTGTTTAGATTTTCCACAAAATCATCACCAGTGGACACCAGCGTCTCCAGCCCCTGTTTGACTGCCTGCTCACAATAATAGTGAACAGTGAGTATCACAGCAAATATGACGCCCCCCAGGGGCTAAACAGAAGAACTACCAAGTCTGTGAGAGACTCTCTGCTGATTTTTCACTCCCCCGCCCTCTACAGTTTCACCTTATCTGAAGAGTCTGTCAATGGTGGCAGCCAATAAACTGCTCCACCTCCTGGAGGCCTTTTCCACACCCTGGTTCCTCTTCTCCTCCCCCCAGAACCACCACCTGGTCTTCTTCCTGCTGGAGGTCTTCAACAACATCATCCAGTATCAGTTTGATGGTGAGAACACACAGTAGATCCCAGAACAGGACCCTGTTATGGTACCAGCCTCTACAGTACTGACTCTCCCTCACAGGTAACTGCAACCTGGTCTACACCATCATCCGTAAGCGAAACGTCTTCCACCAGCTGGCCAACCTGCCATCTGACACGGTGTCTATTGAGAAGGCCCAGCAGAAGAAAAAGAAGAAGAAGTCTGGGATTTCCAGGACCAACTCTATAGAGAAGGAATCCATGGAGGGATCCAGACCAGCTGCACCAGCTGAGCCTGGCACGCTCAAAACCAGCTTAGAGGCCACACCAGGTAGTTTGAGTAAACACACTGATCTGAAATACGCATAACATGTAGACACACTTATAATATTCATTCATTCATTCATTTTCTACCGCTTGTCCCTGAACGGGGTCACGGGGGGGGGGGCCGGAGCCAATCCCGGCCAGCAATCGGGCGAAGGCGGGGTACGCCCTGGACAGGTCGCCAATCCATCGCAGGGCTAACACATAGACGAACAACCAGACACACGCACATGCACTCCTATGGGCAATTTAGAGACACCAATCAACCTAAGCTGCATGTCTTTGGACTGTGGGAGGAAGCCGGAGTACCCGGAGAGAACCCACGCAAGCACGGGGAGAACATGCAAACTCCACTTATAATATTTAAAGTCTTAAAAGTAGATTTTGAAGAAGACACTGTAGTACAATATGCATATTTGCTTTTTTGCATTGGGTAGAAAATCAGTAATGTACAATGTACAGTCTATACAGTGAATCACTACAGTTAGCACAGGTAACTTAGCATACAGACTGGAAATGGGGAAAAAAAAAAAGATTCTCTTGTGTCCTCCAGGAATTGATAAGATAACAGAAAAGGCCCAGGTGGGTGAGGATGGTACCATGGTTGCTGTTCCACGTTCAGATTCTTCACAGGCGACTGCTGACAACAGTACTGTAGCTGGAGCCAGCGACACAGAGTCCAACTCGGAGAGAGACCCAGAGGTGCACAACAAGACACGTCATCTTATTGTGTGTTAGGTGTTTAGTTTTGTCGTTTCTCCATTTAAAGTGACCGCCATGCTTTGTGTTGACAGGTTTACCACACAGAGTCAGAAGCTGTGAGGAGTCGGTTGTCAAGTGTCTCAGCAGCAGCCTGGAGCGCAAATCCAGACTGGGTGCGGACAAGTCTTTTCCACTGCGTCTGTGGCTCCTTCCACTGATATTTATTTTCTAGCTTTTCCTTTTACCTGGTGATTTTTGTACACTCTAAACTGCTCATATAACTTCCTTCATCGTGCTGCTTTTGTTTTCAGGTGTTGTCATGGAAGGCTAAACTTCCTCTACAGACCATCATGCGACTGTTACAAGTACTGGTTCCTCAGGTGGAGAAGATTTGCATTGACAAGTAAGAAAGGACACAACTTTTTGTCTGACCAGCAGAGCTAAAGCCAAATACACTCACTAGCCACTTAATTAGGTACACCTGTACAACTGTATGCACTTCAGTAAAACACTTCCACCTTAACAGGTTAGCGGGTTTTCAGTAGCTTTTTGCCAACATACAGGTTGTTACGGTCACAGATGTGTTCTGGAAGAGAGTTCCAGTGGAAGGTTTTGGATGTGCTGAAGTGTACAGATCATTTTGGATGAGGCACCATAAAGAGTGCTTCTGCTGTAGTCGAGTCTGGATGTGGTAGAAGCATGGATAAGGGTTGCAGCCCAGACAGGAGAGGGGCCTGTGGATTCAGATGAGGTCAGAGTTATTGTTCTCCTCAGGGGGTTGACCGACGAGTCCGAAATCCTGAATTTCCTTCAGCATGGCACGCTCGTCGGCCTCCTGCCCGTCCCTCATCCCATCCTCATCAGGAAGTACCAAGCCAACGCCGGCACAGCCATGTGGTTCCGGACATACATTTGGGGAGTCATCTACTTACGGTAAGAAATTAGGAAATGACCCTGTGTCTTAGTTTTACCAGTTCTTTTTGAATATTGAGATAAAACCCAATAAATTACAGTCACGTGGCCTTGGCAAGTTATATGTGTTGAATAAGCCTTTGGCTGTCCTGCTTGTTACCATAGCAACATGGATCCTCCGATCTGGTACGACACGGACATCAGGCTGTTTGAAATCCAAAGGGTTTAGAGGTCAACTGAAGGATCCTGTTTGTTCTCGTCACACGCTCAGCAACAACAAGAAGACCAGAGGAGCATCTCACGTCTTTTTGGAATTTTAAGAAAACAAGCAGTGACTGTATTGTACATCATTGTCTTTTCTTGTAGCAAAAATGGAGAATGTGTAAATGTGTGAATAAATTAGCTATTGCAGATCACACAGAGCCTGTATCATGAGCAGATATACAGTGGGTACGGAAAGTATTCAGACCCCCTTAAATTTTTCACTTTTTGTTATATTGCAGCCATATGCTAAAATCATT